TGTGTGTGAGAGAGAGAGAGAGAGAGAGAGAGAGAGATAGAGAGAGAAAGTGTTAATATGAGTCATGGTCTTACACCTTGTTTGAGGCACAGGCTGTCAGATAGCTGCTCTAATATCTTCCAGGGATTCTCTTGTCTGTGTTTCCTTTCTTGCCATGAAGCACTGGGATTGGAGATGTTTGCAGTATGTGCTAAGCTTTATGTATTTATGTGAGATGGGGAGTTCCAAACTCAGGTTCACATGCTTGAACAGTAAGCACTTTACCACTGAGCTATACCCTACACCCTCTACTTTTTTTCAAAGCATAGTCTCTGATCAGTTTATAACATAAATGTGATTTTTTAAAAAAAAATTCTATAGAGGAAAGAAAATACAGGATGATTTTTCTATCTCCAGTTACAGAAAAATAGCTGTTATTATTGGTATCTTACTACTGATTTTTTTATGTAGGTGTTTACAACCCCTTGCTGGTTCTGTGACAGATTCTGTGCACCTCTCTTCTTTCAGAGTTTTGCTGAATCATATGAAGAATTTTCAGAGAAGAGATTCTGTCCAATAGACTTCCAACCTGGTATAAACACATGCTTCCTGAGCCAGCATTGCCATTCAAAGAGCTGACAGATCTGCACATGAATACTGGGTCAGGACACCAGGTGGAGTGCTTGAGCATTTCTCAGGCTTCTACAGCAGAACAAGAATGATACTCAACTCCTGCAAATGAGATATTTCAGAAAGCCTAACAGCCACGCCTCCGATTCTCCGCACACATAGTGCACATGATTCGTGAAAACTGCTTATTTTTCTCGATGTTACACTACACACATGCATCTGCTGGCTTCCTGGATCTGTGTTGTCATCTTTAGCTTTCTTTGTCATGTTAACTGCATCCCATCCTAACCTCATGCCCAGGTCATGTCTCAGGAAGGATTCCCCAAATCATCTTCTCCCTTGGTTCTTCTTTCTTTTCTTCCTTCCTTCCTTCCTTCCTTCCTTCCTTCCTTCCTTCCTTCCTTCCTTCCTTCTTCCTTCCTCCCTTCTTCTCTTTGTCTCTGTCTCTGTCTCTGTCTCTGTCTCTGTCTCTCTCTCTTTTTAAAAGAAGTTACTATATTTGGAATTTTTCATACACATTGAAATCAAAACTTAAAGACACAACATTATGCAAAGTATATATACATTTGAGAAGAATATAGACAAAATTGACTTTGGTGAGTAAGTGACTAGAAACTTTGAGAAATACTCTTTTTGGATATTAAATCCTATTATTTAAGACACATAGCTGAGAGTCCAATGGGGGTAAACTCTAGTTCTGACTTTCAATTCTGAAGATGTGAATTCTAAATTTTTGTTGGCTTTGTTCTCTTTTGTATTCTTCCAAAACTTTGAAAAAATTATAATTTTCTCACAAACACTAGTTTATTTTTCTGAAACCTGCAGGTAGATTTCTTTCTCTCTAAAAATTTCTTTCTTTCTTCTTCCATCCTTTCTCTCTCTCTCTCTCTCTCTCTCTCTCTCTCTCTCTCTCTCTCTTTCTATCACAGAAAGTTAGAAAGCCTGCCTCTGTTCCCACTCTCCTGTTCCCTGTTCCATTTCTACTGTTTTGTCTAGTGTGCTGTCTCACTAATTTGTTCCCTCAGATTATATCTGCCATGAAGATCCTTTTCCTGGCTCTTCCCTTACCATTCATGGCGATTCTTGTCCCTCTGCTTCTCAAAGGTTTCCTCAATATCCCCACCTTAGAAATAATGTCAAATACTCAATTCTATGAATGGCAATGCATTTTACCAGAACCTGGGTAGTATTAATTAGACATGCCTTTTATGTTATTCTGTATTCTTACTATTTTAATATTAACAAAGTTTCCACATGTGCTTTAAAAACATATATATTTATAATATTTCTAAAAATATAATAAGTAGGTTAATGCCGTTGTCGCTACCGAGCAGTTTACTTAGAACTGGAAAAAAAATTTAAGAAATATTTTCTGCCTTTGGAATATGTGAAGTATTGTAAATGGGAAAAAATAAGGTGTAATGACTTCTAATAATTGAGTGAGTAAGAAGAGAGCTCCACACAACAAACCCATAGACGATGGTGGCTATTGGACCAACATGCTCTCTCCCAGAATGATACAATTTTCTGACAATCTTTACAAACTCTGTAGGTGGAATATTTCTAGCATTGGTTTACCGGGGGTGTCCAGCCAGTTCTCTGAGGTTGGAGGAATTCATGAAGGGAAAGCGAAGATGTGTTAAATATTGACTGGGACATTCAGTCACCGCCTGGCTGCTGAGGAAGTACAGGAAGTCTGTGCACGTGCAGGTGCATATTCTCCGTGAGCTTATATGAGGTAGGATTCTGCTGTGCTGTTTACTGAGAGAAAGACCAGTGTTGGAATGACAGCAGAGCCTATGAAGACTGAAAACAACCCACTCTAAGCTTCTGTTTCCTTCTCCAGTAATATAGTGAAATTAATAACTCATTGGTGGCATCTGCATCAGCCTGCGTGACTTAATATACCATGGTTGGAAGCAGCTGTACCTTCAAATGTTTCATTTCACTTCTTCCAATGGGTAAGCATCTGGTAGATTTGATGAAATTTCTCTTCTATTCTATATGAGTTTTTGCTAAAATCCAATTTTCAATTTTCCTAATTTACTTCAGTTATGATGTTAGATCTGTAAATCGTGGGTGTATTCCACTCTGAAGAAGTTTAACACAAAGAAGCTTAAAAATATTTAAAGTCAAGATATGTAAGAAACCCTAAATATATTACACACACACACACACACACACACACACACACACACACACATATCTTGGGGTTAAAACAGCAGTCTCAATTACTGTAAGCGCTTTCTTGTCAGACCAGCTGCCTGGAGTGGACTTGATTACCTACATGCATTCTGTGTGGCTAGAAACTTAATGCTGAGGCTCAGCAGAAGAAGGTGTGTGTAGGGAAGGAATCGGCTCACACTGTGATTTATAATAAAGGGAACAGTTTTTGAGAAATCTTATCTGAGAGTTAAAAACTCCTTTGAGATTTTCACCATCAACTCAGCATGACGCTCTTATTTTGTTATTGAGACACTTAAACTTTTGTTTTCCTTACCTCTTACAGAGGAATCAATAGTTTCAAAGTGCAGTCCAAAGCAGCATCCCTGCATATAATATACCATCCTGTATGGTGCTACACAGATTGCCACTAGAGGCTTAGCAGACTCACTTGAAACTTGTATGCACCCACTCAATTACTTTTTAACAACAACAACAAAGATTAAAATATGGTCAGTGATATGTTTTCATATAATTTAAGAGATTAAAAACAACAAAAAAGAAAACAACTCTATCTACCCAGCCTTTCCTGTTATCCATGTTGTGCTAGTGTAAAAATAGTGAGATGCCTGCCCAGCGGATACTCTCTACCCTATAAATACTGGTATTTCTCCATAGATTCCTAACATCTAATGTCATATAGTTATTTAGATTTGTGAAATTCCACACAGAAGATTCCTACAACACCAACTTTATATTTTAGTAACATAAGGTCAAATCATTATTGGCTATTTAAAATCAATGGTGCCTGGTTGATTCACAAAAAGATAAACATCTATAGATCAAACAAGTCCATAGTTGAAAGGTATTAAGAAAAACAATGTCACTTTATGAGGTGGTTTGCTTTTATTCAATACCTACAGTCCTATAATTATTCAATACATAAAACACTTAAAGATGCCTATAAGTGTTTAGGAATATTTGCTGTCAGAGTGCCCAGTGTATCTATGCAGCAATGCCGTGACTCCTGCGGGCTGAACACCTTCAGTCTGCAGGATCTGAAACTGAAGTCTGACTCACACCCTGGTTCTCTGTCCTTCCCACTCTGGTTCTCTGCCCTTCCCACTCTGGTTCTCTGCCCCTCCCACCCTGGATCTCTGCCCCGCCCACCCTGGATCTCTGTCCCACCCACCCTCCTCATTCTAATGGATAACTTCTACATTCAAGATACCAGCTGTGTTGGCTTGTAAAAACCACCCAGCTGGGCTTGTTAAATGGTGACATTCTCTCATTGAAGGAAGGGGATCAAGAATCCTTGGAGCTCACCTGACTATCCAGTCACCCCTGTAACCAATTACATGCAATTCTACCCTAATTGCAAGTGGCTTGAGGAGACAGGTTTGATTACACAGCCTGGAGAGGAGTTGTGGAAGGGGATTCTACTTATACAGCTACAAGGAGACCACGATCCACGCTGGATGAAGACTTCCCTGTGTGGCTGCTTTTGGGTTATCCATGCTCCTGACAGTAACTGCTCATCATGAGCGCTATAAGTAAGCCCATTTATACTTATGTGTGCCTCAGGAGGAACTCTAGTGCAATGGAACTTTCGTTGCCACTAGGACTTTTTAAGGTGGTGGAATGGACACTGTCGAGTTCTGCCCTCCCCCACATCCCCCAGGAGAAAATACTGGAGAAAGAGGTATACGGGAGGAGGATACTTAGAAATACTATATTTCCTATTTACTTATACATTTCAGTTCAGGATGCCAATTGCATATCTTCCAAACGGTGAAATAAAAAGGAAGTCATGGTGATGGGAGGCTAGCAGCATGCGCTATATCTTTGTTTATCAGCCTTCCCCCTCACGTTTATTACGGTTCCAAGTGAATTCCCTGATTGTATGGCGATTTGTATCCTGCTTATATAATTTGTAATTATTTCCAATTTGAAAGCTGATCGAACTTTATAAAGACAGGAACATTTCAGCAGAGTTTGATTCTTCACACACACAAGATACCGTTATCACAGGCACAATATCGATAAGATGGATTCACGAAAGAAAGCTCCTCTCCGAGTGTTCACATGTAAATCCGTGGCCTAACTTCTGCTGTAAATGATATTAGTGTTCTGTAATTAAAATTACATTCTACATTCACAGAATGGAGTTTACCTTCTGAATTGGTAAACTTAACCCTTCCTCAGTGCCGATTCTCGGGAGTACTTACATATTCTTCATAAGCCTCATGAGCTGGAGGTGGGGGTGCTCTGTATCCTGGTACTGCTGCTGTCCCCCGGGCTCGAGGTGTCGGGACACCTCTTGCTATTGGGAGCACTGGAAGAGCTCCGCGGGTTACAGTAGTCCCCCGAGGAGTCAGAACACCTCGTCCAGGTGGTGGTGGTGGTGGAACAGCACCCCCACGGCCCCTAGAAGAAATAGGGGACATGCAGATGAGGTGAGGTGAAGACAAGAAATGACTTTCTCAGCTCACTGCCTTCACACAAATCAGTCTCTCCTTCTGAGAGATATTATGTAATTTGCAAAGTGCTTTGAGTCATATTAAAATAGATTTCTTTAAATATTATGACTTAGTTCCAATGAAAACCATACAACTAATTTCATGCAGTGTATTTTGAGATTTCCTAATATATAATTTGAAAAGAAAAAAATGGAAACAGAAAATGAAAATCTACCTTGTTTGTATTCTAAACTTACAAAGACAAACCAGCATATTGTCTGAGATGTGACATGTTGGCTACTGAGACCAAGTGTGTGTACATGCGTGCCTGTGTGTGGGGATTATCTCCATGCTTGGGTTTATTGACAATGATCTTTAGTGTGGTCATATTTTCAAAAACTCCTCATCTTAATAAAATGTGATATTCTGACCAGAATGGTGACATTGTATAGTTACAGTAGCTAGAGCCTCACAGTCCTGATTTATCAGCATGCAGCATCCCTTCCCCGTGCGAGCTGGAGCAGTCACTGACATATTTCTCCATGATAACTCGAGGGTTGCAGAATTAGTGCTCAACAATGAGAAGGCTGATTGAATGTTCTGTACCACAGACTTAACACAAAAGCGATCAGAACAAAAGCATGAGATCAAAGGATGCAGCCATTTTTATAACATCCTAAAACCTTTAGAAAGGATGTTTATCTGTAGTCTTTGGGCAAATACATGGTTATTTCACTGTGTATTATGTCTGAAAGTTGGCCTCTTGAAAGCACTGCTATCAGCAGGGCCACTAAAGCTTTCAGGAAAATGATGATCTTTGGCACACCAACAATCACAATGTTTGCCTGTGCCTTTGCATGGAGGCGCAGGTTACACTTTCGGCTCTGAATAGCCATCAAACTGGCTCGTTCTTCCTGGAAGAAAATGAGCTTTAGGAATGAAGAATAAGAATGGTGGCAGAGTTTTGTTTTGTTTCTTTTTTTTCTTTTAATTCCTAGCTTACCCAGCTAAGAGTAGATAATGTCATGTGAACTAAATATACAAAACAGTATCCTAGATCAGAGGACATAAAGAATCCAGAGCTGTGGTACCCAATTTGAGCACAATGGCTGGGAAGACAAGATTATGTTATCATGATAACACAAAGACATCTGTTAAGTGCAATTCACCTTCCCTGAGCATGTGAGTTGTCATTTGTATTTGAGATGTTTGAACATGAAGTATCCAGCTTATTGTGAGGTTTTAGGAGGTTGTAGAATCTGTAGGATGGAAGGCAGGTCTTACTGGAGAAATTAGGTCCCTGTAGACAGGCCTTGAGATTTATAGTTCAACGCCCATTCTGTCCACTGCTGAGACAGTTGGAACTAAGCTATTCCAGTCACAGGTTCATATTGCTATGAGTCACCAGCCACTGTGCCTTTCCAAACATTATGGACTACATTCCCTTCAAAATCTGAACCAACATAAGCCTTTGTTTCCTCAGTTAAGTTGCTGCATGTTAAATATTTGTTCATAACAATGAGATGGTTACCTCAAACAGGCTCTGAAGCCTCTCACATATTGCATACTCCCAGAACTGACAACGGCAGTCATAATTACTACTGAGCTTAGCATTTTAATACTATCAAATGGCTACATGTTGATAATAAACTTCATGTGCTGGCTACGTCTGTGAATAACGGTGGATAAACATTTTAATTACCTAGACCTAAAATCATAATTGTTCCTAATGGATGCTATCTAGATTTCTGAATCTATATAATGTTTTTGCTCTGCAATGGCGTCATGCTCTTATTGATTCTAATTTTCCATTGCGTTTCTTTTCCATCCGACTTTCAATCCCTGCCATAGCAAACCCCACTCAGTGCCTGTCTCATTCTCACTTAATACGCTTGGTCCTTTCCTGGCAATATTAACATCATTGCCTTCTCCCATGCAACTTACAACATTCGCCATCTATTTTAGGATCCCGTCCAGGGCTAAATCCCCAGTGCAGGATTCTTTTAGTTTCTGACTTCTTCAAAGAACATTTTCTGCATTTAATCTTCACTTCCTGTTCATTTCTGAACTGAACGTCATTTCTTTAGTTCTTGTTTCAGCACTCTGGGAAAAGACTCTTGGCTAAGCCCACCAAGCTCTCAGCCTACCAATTTTCTCTTATAGCTCCCATGACCCTGTGCCTCCTGAGTTATATTTAAGACTTCCCTGAACTATTATCTGGAAAATGTTTCTGTAGACTTTTATTCTTTTCTCTACTCTGTCTCTCTGTATTTCAGGTGCTGTTCATTTCCAGCCTTGGGTAATAGGTTCGCCATGATTGTCTCCTCAGTCAAGATGTAGGGTCCTTCTTCACTTCTTATCTCTGGACCCAATCAATGGCTCTATTTCTTATCTTCATAGCAAAGTGTGAGATCTTTTCTGAAAATGAGATATGGCCACACCTCTCTTTTAATACTCCATTAGTTCTGTATGTTAGTTCTTAATGTTGTCCACATTATTCTTCAAAATCTGCTCTTAGTGATGATATTGATACAGTATTTAATTAAGAACTTTAGAATAAATATTTACCAAAGGTAAAGTCTACTCAAATTTGGCAAAGAATCTGAGCCAAAAGAAACATGTCTCCCCTAAGGTCCTATCAAACAGTCAATTCCATATGATTATAAGAGGGCAAAATCTACTATTATATGCTTTTAAGATTTCATAAGATACATTAATTCTTTTACAGAATTAAAGTCTCAAAGAATACAGAAGACATGTGTGGCTTCGTTTGGTGTACCAAACATGTGGTTAAGGTATTCCTGCTAAGCTGCTATAACTGTTAAAAGTTATCTTTCTGAAAAACAGAAGTAATTAACCTAGTTAAGACGACTTGCAAGAATGCTGCTTCAGAATCTAACAACACCAGGCTAGAAATGCAAAAGTTTCATAAAAGACTGGCCTCATAAAATGTGTTGCATCTGTCAGGAAAGTGCATATCAATGAACAAATGACCCTGAAAACTATTACCACGATATAATTTTATTTTTGAAATGAAACATGAAATGAAGCTCTAGAAATTTCTCTGGTATTTTCCCTGTTAAAATTAATTCCCCCAGAATTTTCACAATAATCTATACATTGTTAGCTGCTTAGTATTCCATTTGGAAACATAAGATTTTTCTGATAAATGAACAAGGTTTTAAAATATTAAAAGTAAAACCAGTGGCATATTCATAAGGATTGAAATGTTTGAGGCATTAATTGAAGTTGCAGAATACCTTAGCAAACCCTAAAATGAATTCTATGTGACAGATGAGATATTATTTTAGGTTATGTCCTTTGAAAATATATGAGTCAGTTATATAGTGAAGAAAGTAAATGAGTTATGCAGTCTGTGTATGAGTCTGTGAGATGTGTGTGTGTGTGTGTGTGTGTGTGTGTGTGTGTGTGTGTGTGTATGATGTAACTTTTAAACAGAAAAAGGATTATTTTGGCTCCCAGTTTTGTAAGTTCCACGGCAGTATTGTGAGCTTACAATGTTCAGGCATTTCACAGAAGTCTAGACAGAGTGTAGGGGCTCCCAAAATAGGTGGGGTCAGGGAGATGGAGCAAATAGACGGGGGAAGCAAGATGAACTAAATAGGTGGCCAGTACCAAGATAGACCAAAGCTATTGGGCATGTGGCAGGAGCATGACAAAAAGAAAACCCAAGACGAAGTGATAACTAGAGCATCCTTGAAAGGCACTTAATCCTGTGCTCTCAGACTTCCCACTATACTTTGCTTACTGATGTTTCTATTCTGCCTATGAAATTAATGTTCAGGGATTTTAGTCTGAGTTCTCTTTCTTCTGTTTTGTTTCTGGCTTTGGTATTAGAATGTGTATCCATCTTTGCCTTTATGAAAATTGATGTTTTCTGTTAAAAACTCCAAAAAGCCAAAGACCTACAAAACAGAAAGAATGTGATTCGGTTCAACTTGACAAGTTTATATGCATTCAAGAACTGTGTACATCGTGAATTAAATATGTACATTTTCATTGTGCAAAGACTTTCTTGGTTTTAAAAATAAGCAAAGGACTATATAACATCCTGCCACTAATTCTAGGGACAGAAGAGAGGAATAGAGACTCTAGTTCCTGCTTTAGTTTTTAAGGATAATTGTTAAATGCACAAATAATGAATTCTGGAGTCAGAATATATCTATTATTTTAGGTAATGTTTTAATATTCTACCCAACTTTCATTGTTTTGTTTTTGAAACTAGTTCCATGGCTAGCCTGCAACTCATCATGTAGACCTGGCTATCACTGAACTCCATTTTTCTCACTTCTTGAATTTTGGGATTAAGGTCCTAGACTACCACACATGGCCCACCAAACTTTTGTTCCTTAATTCCTTACTTGTAAAAGTAGTTATCTCAAGTTTAAAGAGAAATGCAATGAGTTAATGTGTGAAATCATCCCATGAGTGTAGATGAGCCTTATACACTGCATAACCACCCTGTCTTACTGGCTTGCGGTGTGAGTGTTGGTGAGACTGTTTAGCTCTATTTGGAATCCTGAGAGAGAAGAACAGCAGAGGCCTGCCGTCAACATCTGCTTTCATCATTTGATGTTAACACACTAAGAGTGAGACTCATGTACCTTGATGGAGCTGTGGGAGTTAATCTGATCCCTCTGCCTCGAATACTTCGGCCTCGGCCAGACTCTTCTGAGCCATTCAAGTAAGACAACTCCCGAAGTTGTTCTTGACGAATTTCATCATTGTAGTCCTATAAGATAAAAACACAATGACAAGAGACACTATCAGAAATTGAGTTCTTAGAGCTGAAAAACAAGGACACCACAAACAATAATAAAAATGTTGAGGATACCACTCAGTGATAGAACATTTGCCTAACATGTGAAAGACCCCAAAATCTGTCACAGGCATTTCAAAACAGAAGAAAATAAACCATGAAAACAGCGCTGAGTCTAGTTCCATTCCTTCCCTCAAAGCTCTGATCCAAGTGCTGAGGAGTCTGAGGTGGAAAAGGATGCTACCAGGAGTCCAGGGACTGCTGGAGAACATCTGGAATTCAAGGTCAATCTGGGCTAATGTGTAAGAAGACAACACAGCTTTGTCTGTCCCTTTGGTCTTAATGAACAACCTCCTGAAATGATGCTAAAGAGAGTCACAAAGTAATGAAAGTTTCACAGTCACAATCAGGGACTTGGGTGAAGCACTTGTCTTTATCTTTAATCATTTCCTCATTTAATATCCATACACACACAAACACACAAATACAGATACACAAATATACACACATAGCCATATACACACACACAAACACATACATACAGACACATAAATATACACACATAGAGATGTACACACTGACACACACACCAACACAAACACACACACACACACACAAACAAGGAGAGTCTGGACCCTACACCTTAAAATTTTCGTAGAGGTTGAGCCAACAGAGATTACATATGGAGCCCAGTCTTGAGATAAAGGTCCAGGATATCAGTAGACAGAGGTTATTTAGCTCAGTATAAAAGGCGTGTATGTAGTGACTGAGGAGCAATGAAGAAAGACAGTCAGCCACACATCTCTGCTGGGAAAGGTTTGGGGAATTCTTGATGCACAGCTTTATCTCATGCTGTAGAAACCATCTTGATTGCCTCTGAAAGGACTAATCCTGCTGAAGCATTTATTTTCTTATTTTTAACATCTTTCTTTAATGTGTATCCTCTTCAGCACCTAATTATAGTGATGGTGGGTTTATTGCTGCTGACAGAAGAATTATAAAGTGTAAACTACAGCTTCTAAAAAGTTGTATGTTATTCAATTTCTACCCCCCCGCCAATCTTTATGTTCAAGTGCCAACTAAAGTGAAGAAAAAGATAAAAGCATGTCTATTACGTTACTAGAATCATGAATTCAGAACAATGCTCCTAGTACTACATCCAAACAGCTGGTCATCACAACGGAACATGAATCCCATAATCTTCCCATGTAAAACTGTTGATTGTAATTATGTATCTGAGGCCTTCTCTGTGTTGTAAATCTGTATTTATCCAAAGTACTTTTGAGTTAAGAAAATATAGATTGGCATTGTTATATAGCAGAGAGTTATGATAAATCAGCCCCAAGTTTGTTTGGGAATGCCAGAATCCATGCCTTTGAAAGTTTTAGTAACCTTGACCTGGCCTTGGTTGTATGAAACTTTTCAGCTAATTACAAGTGTAAGGAAAGTGAGAAGGAAGTGCTTGTGTAATGGAATTTGAGCCTTTTGCCATTGGAGACTCTTATGTCACAAGGAGGGAAAGTCCAGCTCAGTTTTCTGGAAAGAAGAAGATGTGGAGAAATTCTAGTCACTCTGCTCCTTCTGCAATCCTTTCTGAGATATCTAGAGGCCCTTCAGAGTTCTCTCTTGGTCAAACTGGTAGAGATCAGAAACCTCAGCAGCAAACCTCTGAAATCTATTTTTCCAGGATGAAAGACAATAAACTGGTACTTTAATGCCATGAAGAATCTTGTGTCGGTTTGATCTAAAGGTGTCAACAACACAGGTGATTTGTCAGCATAGGATGTACAACTTGTGCTTCAGAGTCATGCTTAAATAGTCACTATCCACTTCTTTGCTGGAGAGTTCTTGGTCTGACATGTTACCATTTCTTTCTTGGACCATATGTAGTGTTAGATGGAATTCAATACCTCTGAATACAGTACCTGGGGACCATAAAAGTTTGAGCCACTTATTGAATCTCTTTGTTCTTTGTGTACATTTACTTGTTCAGTCACATTGTTATTCTGCTGCTCTGGAGAAATCTACTATCAGGGAAACAACAGTCAGGTTGGTTAGATGAATATTTCACAGCAAAGAATAACTCTTAATGGAAGTAAAACCACTATTGGCAATGTACACTGGAGTTCCTTATGGACCTAACAGGAAATGTTCCCTTTAAGAGATTAGTCACTTTCTAGGTTTATGGTGACCAAGAGAATATAGTGTAGTAATTACAAGTGTAACTGACCAAGAACTGCAGTTGCTACTGCAGTTGTGATGTACTACATCCCCCAGGCCATGTTCCGAAGAGCCTCTCTCATCTCCTGATGTTAAAATAGGTCCTTCCAGCAGACTCTGGATTCCTGTGTTATAAAGACTCCCTTATGGTACTGCTGAAATGAAGTATTGCTCTTAACTTCATTATGTCAGAGAACTCCAGAAATTCACACTTCCATTTCCTTGGTTTCAGATAATTAAGAGTCCTTATTTCTCACAATCATTTTGATATTGTCACAAGAGCATTTTCTTTGATAAGATCCCTCCATGTTTACTTGCCTTTTGAATTCACTTCTTCAAGGACTCAAGTGGAAATACAGAATTCTGAAAACATCAGGTTTCTAAGATCACAGAGATGAGAGGTTTGGCAGACTCATTTGTATTAAAGCTGTTGGAGGCTATTCCATTCAACATACCCTATACTGTGACCATTAGTGTAAATGCCATTATCCTCATTCAAAACCAGTGATAGATAGTTAGAATATTAGCCTCATTACTGACAACTAAAAATGCAGCAGTTTGAATGTAAAGTAAAGCAATGTAATTTATTTAAAGCATGACTTAATAGGAAAGTAGGAGACAGTCATGGAGGTTGGCAAACATGAGAACTGTTGACGACAGAGAATAGAACAATTTGGTTTGGACAGAAGACCTATGACAATGATACACTGGTTGCATTTTATGTGGTGAGATGTGTGAAAAAATATATGACACCTAACAGTTTAAGGTTGCACAACACACTTTCACTTTTCCTATAATTTCTAAAATGTTTTGCCTCTTTTAAATTATGAAATAATGACATGTACACTCACAATAAATTTCACCTGTTCCTTCCCTTGAAGAAGATAACTTTATGAAACAATTTCCATGAAATGTATGTGTTCCCTTTTGCCTCTCAGATAAGGCCCTCCCACTGTGCTGGCATATGGTGTAAACAGTATAAAAAAAGCAGCGAGCAGAAGGATGTTCGGATGTTCCTAGAAAGGACTGATGAGCATAGCCCGCACATTAAATGTATATGCATAATTTCCCAGTTACATACAGTCTTTTCCATCTGCTGTGGTGGCATTTTGCCAAAATACAAATTGGGAAGATTATTTAACTTACATTTAGAAGGCAGGTAATGGCAGGTGTTAATAGGCAACCTGGGGGTTTAGTCAGGGACCGTTTTACTGCCAAATCCTCTCCATTAAGACTCCACAGGCCCTAGTGCCACACATTTAAAACTGTGGAAAGAGCTGGTGAGATGCCTCACTGAATAAAGGCACTTAATGCCAAGGCAGACATTCTGAGTTATCCTGGAAATCTACATAGTGAAAGGAGAGAACCTTCTCCTGCAGGATGTCCTCTCCCTCCCTATGGTTGTCATGGTACTAGCATACATGTACAGAGGGGGGAGAGAGAGAGAGAGAGAGAGAGAGAGAGAGAGAGAGAGAGAGAGAGAGAGAGAGAGAATAAATACATAAATGTAAAATATTGAAATGTAGCTTGCAGTCCTTTGGGAGTTTAGAAAGAGGACTGAAGAAATATCAACATCTAGAAACTGGAGTAATGAACAAGAATGTGAAAATGAATGTGGCAGCACATACCTGAAATTCTAGAACCAGGAAAGAAAGACATAGGATCATGAGTTAAAGACCACCCTGGCTTACCAAAGGGAAAACTAAATAAAAGAAAATTGTGGGCTCTGAGCCCATATCATACTTATAACTGAGCTGGAATGGATGGGAAATGTAAAATAAAAAACAAACAAGCAAACAAAATACCCCAAGAAGCCCAAAACTTCAGTAGACATTGTGTAATAAAGAGTTAAGCAGCTTTACTGAGACACCACAGAACAAGCTTTAGTCAGTAGAAATCAGGAAATCTATTTGCAAAATAGAGTCAAACAAGAGTAAATTAAAATTTGTTAGGAATCTGCTCAATGTATGACTTGGTGTAAAGTTCATATAAAACCTCGATACTGGTATTCATCAAAGAAAACTGAGTATCAGAAATTCAGTATGTCTTTGATTTGAGACTTAAATTGTTATTGATGAAAGCTTCTGATTTCAAATGTCTTTTACGTTTTTTCCTGCTATTAAAATCTTATTATAAACTATTCAAAAATCATTATCAATTGTGACAAGAACAAAACAGATTGAATGCATATATTATGTAAGGTTATTAGAATGGCTGACTTTCTTTCTTTGTTTTTTATTTTCTTTATAAAACACTAGCTACTTGACATGCATTCTGCCTGTAAAGACACGTGAAACAAATAACAAAGAAAAATATTTGTTGCAAGATTTTTAACTTCTGCTATTCTAGAAAATCAGGCACAACCTCAAGATAGATTTAGGATACTAGAAAAATATTCATTTACTATAGATGTCAAATTTGAGCTGCTACAAATATCGAGTTCTGTCTATCAAAGTGAAGTCACTATAAGCTTGTTTATTAAATGTTCTTGGCATATTCATAAAATATTCCAGCATTAAGGAAGGGAATTAGGCATACAGACCCACCTCTAGCTAAGGAGATATTGAAATTTTTTATTGTATATTTTATTTATTTGCTTTTCAGATGTCATTCCTCTTTCCCCATTTCACTTCCCTAGAACCTCCTATTTTATCCCCCTCCTCCTTTTTCCTTTTATTCTTTTTTTATTTGATATTTTATTTACTTACATTTCAGAAGTTATCCCCTTCCCCCATTGCTTCCCCCCCACCCAT